CCCCTTGGGTTTTTGCCGATATCCACTAGTGATTTCAAAAATGTCAAGCAGCATTGCTCGATATGATGCGATACATAATCAGCGGCATCTGTGTCGCAATTTTCCCGCAAATCCAATGAAAACATTCCTGATAATGGCATGATATATAATAAGAACGAAGTGAAAGGATTTACTTTCGATTTTCAAAATTAATGCTATGAGATGATGAAACTTTTCATTTATTGTCTCAAATTCGAAATACAGTAGTAAAACTAATACCTGAAACTATTAGCTATAAAAAACAATAAACAACAAATAAATAACCATAAATAACAAACAATTTGATCGTAAGTGGCATTTCGATCGTGACTTTTATCTTTTTTTTGATAATTAAAGCCATATGATTGAAATCAATAGTAATGATGACTTGCAACTGTGGCAAACCTTCAGCTTCCAATTAATAGAATTATAAAAACAAATCGGTACATAAATGAGCAGAAACCAGCATATGAACTGGACAAACAGCAGGTATTTAGAAATTCTAATCTCTAATCTTACCATCTCCCTCATCCTCATCTTCGCCGCTACCATATTTCGATTCTTGTAGCAAACTAAAATACTGGCGGTATAATCAATAAAGAAAATAAAAATGAAAATGTTTGCTGTTAAGCTCCTTCGGAAAGATAGATCATGGACTGTTGTGTCTGAACACACAGTTACATATTCCCACAGTCCGACAAACTTTCTAAGCAGCGTAATCTACTCCATCAAACTAGCACAAGAATCACTATCTTACAAGAAAATCCTTCCGAAACTCAAGACTGCCTTATCACCATAAGCCTTCAAGGATGCACAGTATCAGTATTGATGCATCTATCACCACTTTAATGCATGCCAAATGAAACCAAAATAACCCCGTCCGGAGCTCTGCTTTCCGAATTTCAACCTAATCGTCAACTTCCAATTAGAAGTGGGACAAGAACTTTCAAGCCCTTTAATGTAATGAGCGATATCACTGAAGGGAATTAACGTGCCGAAATAGTTATTCATGCTTGTTCCATACATCCACCATCTACTGGACTTCCACGTCAAAGCCAGTCGATATAAGTCTGCCCCTCCCCTACCCCCCCCGTTTCTTCTAGGATGTTATCTGACCTTGAATGATATTTACTAGCTATTCGTAAGGTGATGTACACCATCAATCCATATACAATTTCGTTTGAGTTTGCTGCAAAATTCACCCACTCTACACACTATGTTTACAACTGTTTACTACACACAACAAACCCCGTCAGTAACGCATCTCTGTTCCTTAAATTTGAAACCCGTATATCCTAATTTCTTGCAAGAGGAAACGCGTTACAACAAAACAGCTTCTATCGCCATTTTCATACTATTCGTTATTCCTTCGTTTTATGGGTTAGAGCTGCTAAATCACAGTAACAAAACCAAACCCTTTAAATGCTTGTCAACAAAAACAAGAGAACATTAAAACCAGTAAGTTAACGAACATATTCACAAAGAAAGACAAATACGCACAAGAATTTAGGAACGCAATGACACGTCTTTCTTAGGATAAGAACAAATTTTTATTGTGATTCGTCGCCTGATGGCACTTGATGATCCCGAGTTGTAACAGAACGTGATTCCTGCTCCAAACTTGTTAGGCTTAATCAATTCTTCTTTCATATTCCTTGGCAAATTACCAACAGTCCCATTAGCTAAAGCGTCCACATTTCGCAGCTTTTCCAGTTCTATCTAAACATTAAAAAGGTTAATTAAACAATCAAAGATATAATGATTTTAAGCATACTTGGACAGTGGTTGCAGATGGAAAGGATGTAATGTTCCGACACTGCCCAACAATCACCATCTTCGCACTATACATAACAATAAAATTAGAAAATCATTTAGCAAAAAATCTAAGGGAACTCAAACCTCATGTGCTATTAGCTGTCTCGCAGCATTAGACAATGTATTCGAAGATCGATTATTGTGGCATGCACCATCTTCGGTAAACATAACCAGCTGGTCGATGGCACTAAATGAAAAAAAGAAAGGATATTACCTGACTCAGTGGAATGTATTTGATGAAAATTCACTGCAACTTACGGTTTAAAAACAAAACTGACGGATCCATCCTGCGAAACAGAGGTGAAGGTGAGAGAATATGAACGCATGATGCTAACAACCGAATGCAAAAGATCAAGTTCTCGAACACTATACAATTGGGTGTTCATCTGCAACAAACAAAATTCAAAATATATAGGCTGCCAGTCAATTATCTATGCCATCACTGGTAAATATCCGTTATTTCCACTGACATCGCAAATATTACTCAATTAAAAGAAAGAATTCGGTAAGAAAGTTTTGCAAAGTTTGGAAAGATGAATAAATTTCAGAGATTAACCGGCTTCAAATCCGGTTGCACAATACAGATGAGATACGGCAAAATTTCGAGTGCGAATGTTGACAGTGAAAAATTTTTCTGTGTTGCTCCAGCTCGCACGCTTTCCACTATTTCAACGGACTGCTCATAACGCTGTATTGCACTCTAAAATATATTTTAGATTATATAACAAGCAAACCTGACATTTTTATAGCATAGTTACAAGAAATGGCTAACGAAAAGGCAAACGAAAGCATGAAAAGAACGAATTACGTGATATTCCGTTGGGAAACTCAGATGTGTTCGACCTCTGCAGCACAGAAGCATATGTATACTGACGCACACAGCGGACAAATATTTCAGTAAATTATAATCCTGGACACTATTCATGGATGTAACTATTCGATCATAATAACATAATTGACGGATCGCCATAGAAGCCTGAGCATGGAAACTTGGGTTAATCGATACCAACTTATCATAGCATTAAGGTTACCAAAATCAGACGAGAATTTCTCATGAAATCAAGATTCCAACAAAGAAGTTAAAATCCCAATATTCACTCCATATAATAAAGCAAAGATGCTCCTAAAATAATCTCCAGACAAATTGAAAACGTCAACAAGAGATCCATAGAATCCGTTTTCAAACTCACAAATATGGTACCACTTGCTCTTCAGGAGGAAAAAAAATGCTATTCATCAAAATTAAGGACCATTCTCTACAGAGTACTTTCTATCATTGTATCGAATGTGCCTAATGATGTTAACTATTCTAGTCTAGTCATAGGAAGGATTTGCCAACGATGAAGTATATCTTAAAATCTTGGCCTCATTTGACCAATAACAGGCGATGTATTCTTAGACTGCTTAAAGTTTTCATGAATTACCTCATGATCTAACATTACACAGTTATCATTGCACAACACGATGAATGTCTAAGTTAAAAGACGATATTAACTATGTAAGTAAAAAAGCTCATAAAATATTTTACATTCATCAGCACAGCGGCACTTTTGCAATTCAAATAGTTGGTGAAAAGTCCCATATAAAAGCGATCAGTTTCGTTTCCATGCAGTTCCGAAATGAGTGTAATTTGTTTGATACGTGAAGCAATATCTTGAATGCGGCCATTTGCATCCAAATGTCGAGAAATTTCGAAAACTGAAGCCCACGAATCGAATAATGATGACTTGTCTCCAAACTGTTTCTCACGTTCGCAAAACTGCAAGTGCCTTCATTTGAATGAAACTAATTGCTAGTAAAGTGAATTACGATGAAAAAAAGTTGCAAACACGAAATCGAATACTGTTAAAGTTGTACAGACCAGATAAGTCTAACATCAAGATAGCAAAATAACAAGAATACATACCTTAAGAACAGCTTTTCGATCGATTGTAGCGCAGTTTTGAGATGCAATAAACTGCAAGTTGTTGATTGCGGAACGGAGATCCCGTGAACATACATCAATAATTTCCGATAACGCGCTTGGTTCAACTTTCAGATGTTCTAATTTTGATATCTAAAAAAGGTTAGTAATACGAAAACATTCAATATAATTTAGGGATCAATAAGAAAATAAGTTTCGATACCTGGAAATCACTTCCCTTATATAATTTTCTAAAAATTGGTTTTCACAAATTGCAATCTTTTGAGATTTTCAGGTACTCCAACCAGCGTTAACGATGTAGCGTTTTAAACTCGATTCATTGTTGCGGATATAAACAAAAATTTGCATTTCCGAAAACTTATTATAGCGTAATTAAAAGCAAATTGAATCCCGGCACCTCAAACGACATTACTCACTACATTTCATGAAACATCTGACAAGGGAAACAAAAGATTCGCCTTAATCAAAATCGCAAGGGGGCAAAGGATGACAAGTGTCTCATTACGAAACCACAAAAAGGATGCAACACCGTTAAAGAAAGGCATCTCCAGATCTGCTACATGAGGTAGAAAATCAATTCAATTTGTTCAGCAAAAATAAAGAAAAATGAGTGCCTCTTGGAGCCTTTTGGTTAAACGCTTTTCGTCAGTTCTCGACAACTGCAACACTAAAGCAATTAATCGCAATTCACGCAGAGAAGGAGTGTACCTGTAATAAAAGTCCCAATAATTCTGCACTGAAAAATAGAACATCAAATTTCAGTCAGATGATCAAAATGATTACGGGCTTTTGTACGGACAACATGTACTAACAGATTGTTGCATATGCATATTACTGGCCGTCGAAGTGAATGTCTTCCAGCTGCAGTTACAGCTTTACACAAATAATGAATGGATTGCGTTGGTGCGCCATCTATTTCATCCAAAATAAGACAATTTGGTTTGGAATCCTGCAAAGGATTCATAAATGAACCAATTTCAATATTTCAGAAATTTTAAAAAACGATAAATTTTTCAGAAGAAAATTTCATCCTTACAGCATCCAGAGTCCTTGTAGTTCGTAAAGCATCCTCAAAACATTTTTCGAAATCCACAGTATTCCGCTCATCGCTGAAAGGATTGACGGAAAATACAGTACACATGCTGTAGTGTAGCAGAAAGTAACCAGAAAATCGAACCAAACAATCTTAAAGAAACTTCAACAACCAAACTAAAGATTAAAAAATTCTCAGGAAACTGCTAAAATTCAGGAAGTTAAGCAGAGGAAGGGAGGGAGGAACAATGTAACAATGATGTTAACCAATACTAAGTAAATTTACCTAGCATTCAAACTGACCACTCGATATCCAGTATGTTGCGCCACCAAAGTTGCTAGTGTAGTTTTACCAGTACCGGCAGGTCCAGCTAGGAGAACAACCTAAATATATTTTTTCGGACTGTTTCAAATGTTCCCATTCGGATGAAAAATTAATATATATAAAATATCATGTTTCCAACAAAAGAACAAAAACATACTTTATGCGATGGGCGCCTTGGTTTCTCACTGCTCAAGATGAGTTGCTGTTGATTTGAAGTACTTCTCAGGACGAAATCCGGGATAGCCCTATGAAAGACACACTCGTCCCACAGTCTTAACCAATTTAGCAACAAACGATTCACCGTCTGAAATTGATTCGTCTCAGGAAATCCACTGGAATATGTATCAACATGACCCATTAGAAATTGCGCGAAGATCTCGATGTGAAAGAACTAACTATACGAAAGAAAAAGAGACGTACCTCGTCACTAATGAGATCAGCGTAAGTATGCGGAGCATATTTCTCAACCCACAAGTCATCTTGTATAAACACAGATTCTCCTTCCACACCTTCAGGAACAATATCAGGAACCTCAAAATCAATCCCAGAATTTAATACTTTTTCGGTGAAACCAAACTTCAGAGAACCACTTCGCAGTTTATCAAGGCCATGGTTATCAACCGTCTGTTCAGGACTCCTTAACATTATGTAGAATCTGCAAATAGTCCCTATCATAAATCCTAATCCAAGATTCCTAACGTTCAATAGCTTCCCGAAAACAGTCAAAAATCCTCGACAAATCTCTACTCCTAGTACAAGATCTTCAGTTTAAATCATCCCGACCTCTGCAGCTCCGTAGGAGCTGTAAAACCAATCCATGGCATACTACCACACGGTGGGTACAACAACACTTCACTTTTTTTCAACTTTGCTGATACACTTTGTATTTCTTCTTCGCCTGTTTGCAGGTCTACCAAGCGACGCTTTCTCCGAGCCTATAAACAGCCATAAAAAGCTTATGTATGATTAGCTAATACATTTCGAAACCATACACGAAATTCGACTTTGAAACGTCTGTCAACATAACGTAATGAAATGGGTTTATTTTATGATCATCCAAAAGACAACACATTTTCATAGAAGCAACCGAAAAAATAGAACCCAGGAAATTTAAAAGCATTTCGACCCATATACTGTTGTGCTCAAAGGAATTAACTCTAAAATTTTCCAATTAACGCACCCATAAAATGCGTTGTTTAAGGCGTTCAACCATTTCATCACCAATAATTTCTCGTCTCATATCGCGTTCTTTTTCATAATTGTCGCAGTTTATTCGCATATGCCAATCTGTAAATACTCATATGTCCACGGATAACTTATCCGCTTTGGAATGAACACCACCCTCAAGTCTGCCCGATCGGCCATCCTACTGTTTCACCAAATAACGCGATCATACGCCGAGAAGAGATCTGCAGATGAATAACCAGAATGCAGACCACTAAACATTCGGTTTATTTCAATACAATGATTACTGCGCTCATATCAGCATCCTAACCATACTGAAACGCGAGCAAGGGAGAAATCAGCCACATACCAAGTGCATCACAATCATCAGGTACTAAGATCCGTTTTGGCGGTCTCCTTACGACGTCGTTCAAAGCATTTGTCGATGAATTACTTTGTACACCTCCCTCCTCTCTAGAAAAAAATAAAGGGAAAGAAGGTTCTATACTTTGAATAAGGCGACCATTACATCATAATGATAAAACCAAAAAAAAGAACAAGACTAACTCATAATTCATGACTTCATCTGCAAAATCTGCCTCAATCTCATTATAAACATCTGGATCCATCATTTCATTCCTGAATCAAATAAACAAGATAAACACGGCCCCTTCTTCACTCACGATTCACACGAGTAACCCGTAAATCACTCAGAAATTCGGTTCGCCTAATTTCGTCTCTTTCCAATCTGCGCCATTCCCCTCCCCGACACGCTATTTCCAAAACAGGTCGAAACACAATTCAGTTTTACACTTTTAAATAAAGTACGCGAACATTCCTGGAGAAAAGTATAAGGCAAACAAGCCCATTGGTAAAGGACTAAGTGCGTAAGCAGTATGAAATATTTCTGGAAAACAAAGTAACCAGTGAAGTATTTAGAAAGAAATGTCGAGGTCTTACAAATGAAATATGTGTAGGAATACTAAAATACTAAAACATGTAGTCGAGTATTTGTGAAGGTTCTGTACCATATGTAATTTGTATACCAGACTTACTTGAACGGAAGATCTGTATTTGATAGAAAACATTAGTAAAAACATTACAGAGACACAAAACTGAAAAGACGAAGATAACATTAAAATAATAATAATAAATAACAATAATAATGATGATAAATAATAATACTTCCAAAACTGCATCATGCATTTAGCATGTAAAAGATCGAGCAAATCATCGCAGAGGAACAACATATAGGTTCCTTTTCCCAGTCTCACTTTTTTCATGTCACATATGCGAGACTGCAAAACAGAACAAAAAGAACGATGTGCAAAAAAAGAACTGACAACAGACACGAATAAACAAACAGAATGGATGGTACGAGGAATAAAAAGAAAAGAGAAAGTTGGATCACAGCGCATAACGGCTCAGAAGAAAGCAAAGAGAACAAACTATATCCGCATTAATAAATGTCTGACCGGGGGAATGGACACTAACAACTCTACCAGTCATTACGATACATAATACTGCCGTCATACCAATTACAGCCACCAAGCTTAATATCTTGTTTGGATCCGAACTTGAGGACTTTTGCTGAATCTTTCTTGGAATCCTAGAAATCCCAGTGGATTCCTTACTTAACCTTTCAGAAATTCCACATGACACATTGTAAAGGCTCGCGATATCCTTCGAAACAATCAAGTTCCGAACAAAAATCGCAAAGAACCTAAAACCAAAATGCTTCCCAGTAGGACGTGAGAGATGATGATGATTCAACAGTTGGGATATAAAAATAGTGTACAAACAAATTAAAGATCATTAGAGTAACAGAGCTGTTATTACTGATGAAATAATGAATGCTGATACCGTACTCAGTGTTGATAAAAAAAAAAAATCCTACCCATTTCAAACACTAAATGTATTCAACCAGTAGTGAAATTTAGCTTATAGTAATAACTATTGAACGGTTTAGCTGCACAGACTGAAACTAAATGAGCAACCGTTAACAATATTCGCCACAGAAGTAACCAGTCAATTACAGAAAAGGCTAGATAAAACAACTACACACTAACAAAAAAAAGTATAGAAAACTGAACACTGCGAATTTTCTAAAATGATGTGAGAAATGAATTCCAACTGTCCCATCCAAAATTAAAACATTTTTAAAATCATAGAGACAACCTAAAAATTGCCCCTGTACAAAAATACTAAGATTACAAGAAAGAAATCCAAATACCCTAGTCGCAAACAAGACACATCTAAGGAAATACATGACAACCATCACCATCCTGGAAAATTATACTTTCCAAACATACTAGGATTACACGGGAGATATCCTAGTTATTGTCGCGTCGAAAACTCGACGCATCCCAGGAATAATCTTATAGACGTTCTAGAACTGTCAGCGAAAGGAAAATGAATAAGAGATGCATAAAACGTTAAAAACCAAGAATTACGAGATGACAGAATCCATGCAGAAATAAAGATCATGAAATTAAAAATTCACGGCAAAAATTATTTAAGACAAACCTAAAACAGATGGAAAAAATACAGCCATTACGACGAACAGATTCCCTATTATAAGAGAATGTATGTTCGAATATGACATTTAAAATCCTTACATCCTTGAACCCTGCATCGGGGTGGATATAACACATAAATATGAGTATAACACGTGTTGCAAAAATTATGAATTACCACGTGAAGGAGAAAAAAAAGAAAAAAACATAAGGCATACAATGGTGCCCCACATCTATAACAAATGGGGGAAACTAGCAAAAAAATGAAAATATAAAGAACTAAAAAGGACCTAATAAAATTTGTTGTAAGCCAAAAGCATCAGATTTTGTTTCGAATATATAAGAACGAATCAGAGTACATGCTCCTGCCGAAGAATTATTTTTGACGAGGAACTTGTGGTAACGAGAGAGCTGAAGAGTGCTGGTGAAAAAAAAAAAAAACGAATCAAGTGAGGCACTAATATTAATACAAAAGATCCCGGTTGAACTTGAAATATGAGAAGATTTGGAACATAAAAACAAGCAAAAATGTGAAGGTGCGCTCAAGAAACCTTCCAGATGTATACATTTTTGAGTAAATGAAGGTTGATACAGTTCATATATTTTTAAAAGCAACCCGAAAAAAAGTAGCAAAGAATTGATGCCCCCAACTCTAGACAAAACTTAGTTCATTATCACGGCGGAAGGTCACTGAGCAAATGTCATGTGAGACTTCAGGGAACAATAAAAAATGAAAATAAGAAAAAGCAACATCAGATTAGGGAATCGCATGTACACACTATAGTTATGATTTGCTTGCTCACTGATTGCTAATCGTTGGTTGATGGAGGGAGTTTATCAATAAACACTAGTGCCGACCGTGCTCGTTTGACTGACGATATTCACTAGCACCACTGTAATGTCGCAATCCGCGAGATCCTCCTCCACCACCACGCCCGCCACCAGATCCATTACGCACATTGAATCCGCCGCGTGACAAGCCTGGAAATATTCATGTATTATTTTTCATTCAAATATCAATGTTGAGGAAAACTAGAACAATTCCCTACGAACGTGCTTCACATGAAGGAAAGCCATAAAAACTCCTCTAACAATTTATACAAAAACTAACTGGACATTCTTAAGAATGATGATTGAGGAACAGTTAAATAGAGAACAACATATAACCTTGCAATGTAGGGCCTCTGTGTATAAACGGAGTACGGGGGTTCATCTGCCCACCTTTCTGCTCCGAAAGAGTGGCTTCGCCGTCGAATCCAAGTGAATCAATTTTTAGATGCAGAAGTGAAAGCGACCGCTCCTGAAAAGTTTACAATTCAGACGATGTATGCATTTTCATAACATAAAAGTAATGTTGTGCGGCTGAATATGCTTAGATGGAAAAACACATCCTTATTTTTGGAAAAAGAAAATTTTTTCACGATCCTACCTATCCATCCTCCATTAAGAAAAATCTCTACAAAAAGTGAACTACAGTCCATACCTAACTTACTAACCCTTACTGAATCAAGGAAATCAACTTAAGGATAGTTTTAAATGACCTTTCTTGCAGCATTGAATGCATTTCTTGCACCCTCTGGTGTTCTCATAACCACAAAAGCAAAAACAGTCCGCTGTGGATCCGCAGAGTCCAGCACACGACGAGGAACATTTACCGCAGCAACATGTCCAAATTCTAAAGAAAAAAACCAATAATATAAAAGCAAAAGCGTAATGAAATGTTCTAAAATTCGTTTCGAACAATAACTATGATCATGGAACATCAAGTGGGCAGGACTTACTTTCAAACTCGAAACGTATATCTCTTTCAATTGCAGCTGCGCTTTCTGGAACAATATTGCGTGTTATGCCACCCACGTAGAGCCGACAGTTGTCTTCTGTAAAGTTTTGAACATTTATATCATATAAATAAAGAACAATTACATAATCTCCCCTCTGAAACCGCATATCAATCACTTACCGAAATTTGAGAGAAGGTTTGCATTGTTTGAAGGAGAGATCGAAGCCGAATTTTGTATTATAGGCAACCGCACTGGTGGCTGAGCTGTCGTCAGAGTCATATTCTGCAGCTGAGCAGCAATAGTTACTGCAGCTGTTTGATTACCACCGACCAATTTAGCCCAAGTTTTCGGTGCTGAATCAACTGTAACCGAATTCGAATCTTCCGTCTGCAAAAGAATTTTACCACACAGCGTTGAATTTTCCATTCTATGCTCAACTGTTCCCATGGGTACAAGAAAAAAGCTATATCCACACACAAGTAACAAAATATTGGAATATAATTTCAAACCTCGAGATGACACATATTTATGATCCTGTTATTAATAACTTACCTGTGCCTCTTCAGCAGAACTGTCATCTGACTTGCTACTAGCTATGTCATTCATTTGATGCTTCGCATCCTGAACAATAGCACTTGCATTCACTGCTTGAATGGGTTCAAGATGCTGCTCTTTCTTCAAGCTATCAGGTGACTGAACGATAGTCTCAATTTCTGAAAATTTCCGAAGTCAGTTACATCCTCAGAATAAAATTCCTTCACATCTTTACAAGGTAACATTCAGAGGAGAAAGTTTTGCTGCAAAACTTTCGCCACAAGCAAGCATATTGCATCTAAGTCATCATCAGTTATAGTTGTAGTTTCATCGTTATGACGGAAACTGAAGGAATAAGCTAGGCAGAAAAGCGTCAAGAGGCCATTACGAAAAGGACACGCGGTGAGCTCATGCAACCCGCCAATCAACTCAAGAACTCGGTAAATGAAATATGCAAGAAAATTATAACCACTAACGATTGTGGCTTGCAGAGACGGCCTGCGTATGACCGTTGATTCCACCAGCTTCACCATTTGGTGCAACATTCTCTTCAGTGGCAATTTGAGTCTGGATATCTGCAAAGCAAGTTACCTATCACTTCCTTCCAAAAAGATGTATTAAATTTGGCTTCCGAATCGAATGCTGGTGGCCACCTACGGAATTATTTCAATCGTGATGACTAATAGACGTCAGCTACCCATTTCATATTATGCATAGGCAAAACTTTCGGCCACAAAAATGCTTTCAAAAAAGAAAGCTCCTCTTACTAATCCTCAAATCATATTATTCAACGTATTGATTGTTCAGATTCATGGTAGCTTTAAACTTTATGTCATATCTGTACCTTTCCGCCTAATTGGAGCTTTTGGGAATGTCTCGTCATGTTTCCAAAACATCTACATGCTCTCTTCCTATGCGACGATAAAATATGATGGTCGAGCTTCACTACGAAAGAATGGTTCACAATCTATGTTTACCTTACATGTGCATCAAACTACCATGTTATGAGGGAAAGAAAAAGCATACAAACCATTCTTTTGCGGCTGAATAACGGTATCACCGAAGGCTCGATCAAGCCATTGGAAAACATCATTGTGGACATAGTATTTCTTTGGAGTTTGTGGACACAAAATGAACGTTTGCAAAAACGCCTTCCAGGATTATCGCCAATCGAAAGCTCGCCACAAACCTTTAAAGCCTTCCATTTAATGTTTGAATTAATGAAATCAAAAGAGAAATGTTTTTTTAAAAAATGCTCGCCATACAATGCTCAATGTTCAGTTTTCCCATTCCCACCACAGACTGTGACACGAAGATAAAAAGTCATCCTGTCAAAAGAGTTCCACAACTTACTTGTATGACTAAGCCATTGTTCATTGTGGCAGTGCCACTGACGGTATAAATTCGGGCTTTACAGTCAACAAAAGCCAAACGTTCGATTGCTTTCTGTATTTTCTGCAAATTAAATTGTTTGCCGTGAATACTGCATTCAACAACTATCCTCCCATTATAAAGGTCATGAATCTTACAGGACATTTAAGAATCATGAATCAAACCTGCTGTCCTTGAACAGGCTGGTCCGTATCGTGAGCAAAATATGACTCATGGCTATAGAAGCGAAAAACATCCTGTGGCCTTTCTGATAGCATCGTGTAGTATTGACGAACGAATTCACGTCCAATTTCTAAAAATGTGCAGCAGTTGCATAGTAATTAGAAATATATAATAATTAAATAGCGAGCAGACTTGAAAATTACGACAGCTTGATTTTAAAAACTATGCAATATTTCCTCCGTTATCCATCATGTATGACGTTAAATTTCCAAAAGCAATAAATGGTGTGCATTTTGTTTTTTGAAAGTAGGGAGGATAATAAATGGTCTTCCATAACATGTTGTGGGAGGTCCCTTGGTATGAGATCATTGAAGGAAGAGAACATCGAATATACTTTTTGAATGTTACAAGCAGGCCGAGATAACACTGCAAAGGGGCGAAAACTAAATGATTCAAATCACCAACTGTCTAACGAATGAAATGAAACGGAGTCGGACTTACATCACCAATTTTTTCTAGGAAAGAGGGAGCATTAGCATCCATCCTTCCCGTTTCAATCCTATCATCACTGTACAGTTGAAATAAACGACCAGGACATCATTTCCCAACAGTAAACGTAAGAATCAATGTGTCAATATCACATATTCAATCAGAGATTTAATATATGACCTTTAGGCGATGGCTGTGGTGTTTTGGCAACTTCATTAGTACGGCCATTCATAACATCACCAACTCCCTCCATCTTCATATTGGATGAGAACGACCGCTGTAGACACGCGATTCCTGAATAATATGTTTGCAATAATCGTGAAGAATGCTTTTCTGATTTCATGCAACGAACGTAACATGACGACCACTTATTGAGTGGAATAAGTAAACGGGAAAGGAACTCTCAACCTCATGTAAACTTCCATTAGTGCCAGTTAAAATTGAAAAAGTCTAATCATTATGCAAGAAAGGAAATACATCTACGAACGGCAAAGAATGCTTGAGTGATAGCACTACCACCACACAATCCACAATGTGAGACATGAATGCTACTCCGTACAGTGCACGCATTCTGATTTCCTTCATCAAACCAATAAGATAAAAATCTGATTCCTACTGTACACAACGGATTTAACGCAGTACATCAAATGTAACTCAAAACGTTCTATAACAAAATCCATCTTTTATTTCCGATTGGTTTGATTTACTAAATCTGCATCACTCTGAAGCGATTATCTATCAACCATAAGAAAGTAAATGCTGTAAACTGTCCAAATTAATAGAATTTCTGCTTTACGATGCTTCTGAAAAGAAACCAGATGACAAACATCATATAAAAACATCATATAGTCAGGTTCTCACCACTTATTTCTTTACCTAACTACACCATCCTGACTACAAATAGTTCAGTTTTCCAATTCCTCTATGTCCAGTAAGTATATAACGAAAATACTTCCCCAGTGGAAGTCCCCTCAAATGACGTCGTTACAACAAATATTCCCCGACACCTAAATAACACCAATAAATCGTAAATCAAGAAATTGTAAGCAACGATGTAAAGAAATGTAACGATGAATTGTACGCAATTTCGAAAATCATACCAATAAATACAATTAAATGTAGCATATAGTTATGAGCATCTGACAACATGTATTTTTGCTTCACTATAATTTCTGGGGAGAGTTCTGCTTCCATTAATCACTGTCCACTTGAAGGTCATCTCCAGTCGATAAACAGTGGCACGACACAAGTCTGGTAACATGAGCCTAGTTGTGTATTTCCGCATTTATAAGTGACAACTAACTCAAGCTGTCAAAGCTTTTTTCACAATAAAATCATAGTGACCACAGTACCCATTACTTACATGGCACTTCAAAAGAAAGTCCTGATTTCATGTAAGCTGCCATTAATGCTAGTTAAAACTGAAAAAGTCTAATCATAATGTAGAAAGAATACATCGACGAACTGCCAGGAATACTTGAGTGGTAATGCTATCCATCAATCTACAATATGGGACATGCATATATAATAATACCACGTACATATGACAGTAATATGACATGTTTAATAATATGATGTAAAATCACAACAGAAAGTATAGTGAAACGAGTAGGAGTTATGAGGCTAATCATAAAGCCTCTCAAGGCTTAGGGAACATTACAATATTTGCTGTGTTTGGAACTATCTCTTGTGATACCATACTTTGCAAGCGATGAACATGTAGCATCATACTACCCTATGGAAAAAACAAAACCCACTACAAGTAACAACGCTTAGCTAGGAACGTGTTCACATCCCTCCCACCATGCGTCCCACTTTGAGCAAGATCCTCAAGCACATCACTAGAAAACGCGGCCCGTCCTAAAATACGATAGTGGCGATGTGCACCACAGAAATCCCTGGCAATTCGAGAAAGGCAGGGTACTTGTATTCCAATGTTCCAACAACTCTTGCGAATATTGCGATCAATGCTTGGTCTTGCCCAATTAACAAACCAGTTATGAAGAGTGATATCCGAATATTAATTCCAAGAGATGATTGCATCCTAAAAACAGTACTGCTTCGTTCGCTTTCTACACAGTAGAGATATTCATGTACAGATGACAAGGACAGAGGTTAAATAACTATTCCTGGCGTAGCTTATTCGACTATGCTAGAATCGATATTGCTGTCGCTTACTGATAGCGTGTTAAATAGCGAATTAGATATAAAGTTATAAACATCAACAGTCTACTTTACAACGTTTGGAAAATCCTAGAGTCATGGCGTGTAATATTGCCTTTCGCGATCATGTCACGTATTGTTGCGTTTTGAAATGGAGCGTTTTTGCGTTTAGCTGCCGACATGGGCATATATCAAATTCTGCTGAAGTACAAACACTTGGGAGCACGGTGATTTTACTGTAACTAAGAAATAGGAGAAAGAAATACATCCGCCCTTTATTAAGGCAAACAGTGCGTCGTTTACTTTTAAAAACCACCTCTTCAAAATATTGTGGAACTCTCCTTCAAATCCCCTTATGACGCACTCGTCCTTACCTATTGTCCCTGAATTAATCCGTCATACTAAAAATGAAGAATTCAGTGTAAAACGTATAGCTAGTTCAAACACCTTGAAAGGCCGCCGCGATGTTACCCACAGACGGTTCAAAATCAAAGATTTTATGACGATCGCAAATTAATCTAGAACCTGTAGAGCCTCTCGATATGCGACACACGCCCCCACGATAATGGTACCATCAATATATTTACAAAGATTCCACTGGGAATTATTAGATGGGATGTTGGTCGGCAGTTGATATCACCCAAATTACTTATGCCCTAAATAGCTGGAATAATCTATCCTTTTTGTTTGAAATTTGAAAATTTGTCAGTTAACGAACAAGAATATGGTTAATTCTTGACTTACTTTTGTGAAACCTAAGAATTCTACTGCTTTATATCAGGTGTTTCATTTGTCACAACAATTTCATGTAAATCACTAGGAAAGTAGACGGAAAAGAGTTCGGGATTTTGGTCTATATGGTGAAAAAAAACCATTGTGTAGTTAGATGGCATTAGGGCGGAAAACGTGCTTCCTACTTTGCCGGCGTTATTTCCCTCCTTAAATTTCTATAAGCTTCAATTTCATAAATTTATTCAATTAGATACATAGGGGAAAATTGATTCTTCTCCGCTGATACTATCCGTCTCCTCAGTTCCTGCAATATTTATGTCCAAGATTACTTTAGTAGGTTTGGATGTCATTATATGGTGTAATTGTGTGGTAAATTCGCATCCAAATACTACAAGATTTTTGACTTGATTAAAAATTCTAGTTTTAGTTGTTGTGGTATGACAGGAATACGGTGTCCATACGCTATCCTGACAGCTTGCTCACAGTCACATCCATTCGAAGAAAGGCGTTTTACAGTACCAAATTCGGAAGAAGAGGCGATGAAGATTGGACGATCAGTTGCACGATGGAAACCCAGTTCGGACAATGCTATCTTTGATTGCAAGGTTAACGAAAAAACTATTTCGACCTTTGTCCTAGCCTTTAAAATAGTTGCGAAATTTTGACCCTCTTTACTATCATGGGGATTATTTCGGCAAGATTTACAGATTTTATTTTTTGCTCTACTTCAAACCTGCTTTATGACAAGTCCGTTATGTTTGATATATTATATCCCCGGGTTTTTTTCCACTAAAGTATATTTCCTTAAGGTGTTGTCAAGAAATCATGCAGTGTTATGGCATGAAGAAGGTTGTTTTCTTCTCAAAGATACGAAAAGCAGCAATGGGACGTTTGTTAACAACGATCGGTTGTCTAAAAGCGCGGAAGAAAGTCCTCCGCGACAGATATATTCCGGTGATATATTACAATTCGGTGTAGAAATTTCTGAAAATGCCAATAAAGGTATGATCTACATCGGCAATAATTTTTACATTAAGATTCACATCTCTGTATACAGGTGCCAAATCCAAATTGGTTATGTTACATATTCTTGAGGACCCCAAATCTCGTTTTTCTGACTGTTACAGAATCTAAATGTTTTTTCCAACCTCCCACAGAATTAAATGTTTTCAGTGACTCATGGTTGCATCTTGGCTATGATACGTCTTTATGATGCAAATGGTGAAGAGGCTTGTCCCCCGGATAATATGGAAATTAATGGATTTTTAAGAGCACATGACAGTGATTCCCTGATGTTCCCACTGGTTGACTCCCACCAGCTCTTCCAGTTGCAACACTATATGCGTGAGGCAATTTATCGAGAACGTGCACTCGAGCAAAAGCTTGCAATGCTGGAAAATATCCTTTCCGCTACTGAGCAGGCTGCAGAATCAGGTTGCCAGGTAACGATTACTACTAAATTTTGACGAGCATGAAAAATGGAGTGATTCACGCTTGCAAAACCACCAAAGCGTGTTTTAGGTTGTGATCGCAAAAAAAAGTCGCTTTTAGTTTATCCTGTTTTAGAATAACTGTTAAGATTTTTAATTTCCATCCGAAGATTTATTACATCAAAAAAAAAAAAAAAAATGATTTTAATGTAAGCTATATAAAATACTGTAAGCTATATAAAATGTAAGCTATATAAAATTGTAAGCTATATAAAATTAATGTAAGCTATATAAAATTTGAAAACATTCAAGCAGGAAGGTCGCACTGAGCCATTTCACCATGAATACCACTGTTTTAGGCATTGATAAGTGAGGATCAGTTACTATCACGAATCGAAATGCTGGAAGGACAGCTTGCACTGTATTCGAAAAATATTCTTAGCGAAAAGGTGAAAGAGCAAATGAGTGACTTACTTGTGGACAAAAACAAATTTGAATCACTTGCAAAGGAGTCGTTACGTAGAGCACAAGAAGAACGATGCGAAGCTTTGCAACGACTTGCTGATGTTGAAAGAAGCCTACTTAATGCTGGTATGAAATCCTCAGTTCCCATAAGGTTCACCTGTAAAAGTGAGCACGGAAATCTGAATACACTAGACTACAACCAGTTTTATGTCTGGTAACCATTTATGTATGTTCCAGAAGAGGAATCATCAGTTCTGAGACAGCGAGTTGCTGATCTCGAAAATGAACTTTCTGTGGCGGTAGATGCAAATAGTTTGCTTCGGGACCATGTCACACAGCTAAAAAAGCAATTTAAAACAATGGAATTCAAATACGGAAACCTAGAGGATAAGAATTTCTCGGTATGATTTATTCAGGATTCGGGGAAAAAGATCCCGGTCCCTCTGCTGTATTCGGAATGTCCTTCCTTCCCTCTCTGTCCAAAAAATCATTATACCTATATTTGAAATGCTATTGCGGCTTGTTGCCGATAATTCTATGTATTTATATATATATATATATAATGTATATATATATATATATATATATATCCTTACG